AGCCCAGATTTATCCACGGCATCTGACGTTACTCGATATGCATGTCAACCTCGACATTCTCAGACTTTTACAGGCTCGGTATTATCCTGCGTCAGCGAAGGTGGTCGGCATCCCTTCTCTAGCTAATGCAAACAACGCCTCCCACAACCACATATCACGGCAACCAACTCTTCCATCCTTCCCCAATGATCCAAACTCGTTCAATTACCTCCTCTCCCGGCTTTCCCAAGTTTGGGTATTCTCACGACTCCGTCAGCTTACTAGTTTTTGTTTATCGCGTCCAGCAAGAATGTTCTTTCGTATACTACGCAACACCAGCATGCGACGCAATAAGGGGTCTTGAAAATAGATGTAAACATTTGATTTATATTATGCTCATCATCCGTTCTTGTTTTGCTACCGTCATAACGCGCAGCCGACCTAGTAGCATTTAAATGATCTTGATAACTTTGATCAGCATTATCACATCTTTACTTTCAAACATTTTGACGAATAGAATGTTTAAGAAGAACGTAATCGATAAATAATCTCTACCTCAAGGAAACGTGCTGCTGGATAGAAGATGTTCTCCGGTAACTGAGGGAATCCACCTCTGGAAAGTATGAAAATCAAATCTTAAGGCATATGGAAATAGTGTTTTATCGATAGAAGTCATCTCACCAACCTAAATGCTATTTAACATATAATTGAAGAAGATACCTCTGGGTGCGGTACCAGCTTTCAAGATACAGAAACAACTGTTCAGAACACCGAAAACGCATGCGGGCTTTCAACTCGCTAAAGGATCCCATCATTGGAATCCTTATTGTAGTCGACTCACAGTACTGCTAAGCATCACCTGAGCTTCTCTGTGTCGTATGTATCGGCCTTTGAAGCTCCCTCTCTAGGTGTCTTTTAATTGATATACTGTCCCTCTACCGTAAATATATAACTGATTATGAATCATGGCCTATTCGTTCCGTTACCTATCATTTACGCTCTCCGAATAAAACAGATTGCACACAATTTCTTTATTTATAGTTATTTCACCGCCTGTATCCTTACTAGTGCCAATAGGAAGTTGAAAACTCGATTATTGTTGTAATAGATTCCCACAAAATGGGCTCTGAATAGGTGTATTTCCTGTGTTCATTGGACTCGAAGGTTGCTTACTGAGGTTGGTAGGCTATCAACCGGATAATAAAGGCAGGTTTGAATGTCTATTCCTGGTTCATTTACTAAGAATAACTTCAAATTGAAGATGCTATAAATGACCAAAGAAAATACAATGTTCTAGAATCAAGTGTCATGCCTTTATTCCGTGAATTGCAGCTGGCAAGATCTCTACGCGCAACAAGTGAGGCTCCGACGGTTGATTGGATTGCATCGTGTAAAAAACTTGTTTTGCAGTCGAGAAGTTCCGATAAGAGAATCGCCCGTTACATAAAAAGGCGAGTAGTCAACCTAACCAATTGTCCGCGCTGAGTTAAGTAAACATCAATTTCGGAAGCGATTTGTTTTCTGTTCTTGTCGCGAATAATCTTGGTCTGAATTGACAAAAGCAGACAAACTTCAAACGATAACTCCAGATCTGCTGACTACTGTTGGTTAGACCGTCACTTGTGAGCTCTAACACAGGTAAGGGCACTACATAAGGAAGAGATTTGTGTTTCATCTTGCAAGTAGATTGGGTCAATATGGTGCCCACGCTCTGAACTATTTGACTTTGATTCGTCCAAATCCGTATTTCGAGCGTAACTCTTTTCTTTAAGTTCGAACTTTGAAGTCTCGTAGCAATTACGTCTATTATCATATTGAATTCTGCGTAAAGGTGATTTTGCGTGGCCTAATACATATGGAAAGTAGATTGTTCAGAAGGTTTTATTGCCCAGGATTTGCGAACTCTTTCAGTGAAATTGGTTTGATTCCTTTGAAAGGTAATACGAAAGTGTATGATTAGGACAGAGGCACAAACCCTTACAAATCGTAGAGGTTTGTTACAAAGACTTCGTTTGTAATCATTTCCCATTTTTGTCTGTCTGCGTCGCTGGTTGTAACTCATTATTTTGGACTCTTGTACTCAGGTCGCATTTTGAAGTACTTATGCATGGTCAAGAATACAGCTTTTGTGATTATTGGAAAGAAGTTGCCTCTAAATGTATGGACTGGCCCTCAGGTGGCGGCCTTCCTAACTAAATATTTCCCTTTTTTCTTATATGATTATATTTAGAGGTTCAGCTACCGATCCCAGATTTTAATCTGGGCTATGAAAGTTCGCCATGCAAAGTCTAAAGGCCCGCAGTCACATAAGTCAGGATTTGTCACGTATATCAGTCATACCCAGTCATATGCCAGTCATATCCAATTTCAAAGGTTGGAAATCTCGAGATTCGAACCCCAGACCTTTGGTCATTGAGTTTTCCAATCTACTATTGCACTACGGGCTCGTTGCTCTGTCGGTTGAGATCGGGAATACGATGAATATATGGGCTTCGCCGACCTTTTAGAGGAACAATTAAATTCCGTTATTAAGCGTTAAGTCCAATGCTCTAATGTTGAGTCACAGGTCGGTCGTCTTGTCGGTTGTGATCGGGAATATACGTATGTACATATGTAGAGCTACATACTTTGAAGTCCAGTACGTTCTTTGGAAAAAGTATGTAACTTTATTCATCGTGTCGTCGTCAGAGAATGAGCAGCTGTATGAAAACCATTGGCATTTTAAGCGCGCTCAAAAAGCCATAGTAGTTTGGCGTTTACATCAGCAAGCAGACGCCAGGTGCATTGATTTACTAGTTTTCTTTCCTCTCATTTCTCCACGACCTTTATGTACACGGTCGTTGATACTCAACGACCTACCTCCCCATGGCGACTTTGCCCTGACCCATAGGAGTCGTGCCCAGGTCCTTTCCCTGCCAATTTGCGGAATACCTGCGCGGCACTGACTGTTGTAACAATCATGCAACCACCTTTGGTAGACAAGATCCCGACGCTCCAAATGCGTTCATATTGATAAGCATCACCCTACCTTCACAGTACATCAAAATTGAGGTGATTTATACAGTAAATTACATAGGATATTTCCCCTTAGAATTTTGTAGTAGTAACAAATTGCGGGGGTCTTTGAGCTAGAAAAAAACGTTGCGATGTTCAGTGGGCGTAACACAGTATAAACATGCTCTTGGCAAAAGTAGCTTATGTAGCCCCACTCATATACCCCTAGTCCCAGCAT